ATTTGTGTTTCAAACAAAATCTATAACTCTTAAATGAAGAGGATATAAAGCAGTTGTTAAAGCAGTGTATATAATAAAAATTTAATCACAATACATTTTGGGAGCAAGCTAGGGCTCTTTTATAAGAAAGGCAAGGCTCCTCTAACTTTTCAGAATTGTATTAAACTTTGGAGGCTCTTAAATATATATGGAAAAGCATAAATAGACTAGACTTTACATTTTTTAGGAACGCCACTGAGTTAATGAACGAAATCCAATTGCCGTGCAAGATGATAAAATAAGTTAATTTAATGCAGCAGTTTTTTGAATATTCAAGATAATATCAAGAGCCATTTAGCATGACTGGATTTATCGCAAAGAATGTGCTGGAAAGTGACAAATCTTACTTGGAATGATTATTAGTTAATAAAGTAATGCACAGACACTATAATTTAAACACCATGTTTTGTGTTCACACCATTATTGGTAGTGAATAATGAATGATTATCCACTTGAAGGCAGGAATCCTGTAATTCGTTAAACTTTTTATTTTTCCTTTTTTTTAAATAAATATGTTTGTTGCAACATATTGCTATTTACTTTGATATCTATTTTAATATATGTATTATTGTTTGGTATGTTTTGTTATTGTATAACAATGTCAATATAAGACTATTGTAATGCAAAATTTAAATACAAATAAATTATTTTTAAAATTGACAATTTTCTTTTATTTCTAATTTTGGCGCTTTAATTTGAATGCATTTTGGAGCACGAGGCTGCCGAGCGACATGCGATTAAAGCGCCACACCCAACATTGCGGTCCCTAGCTCTCTGAACGCAAATACCGCGAGAGAGAAACGTCTATATTAGTATATTGTCTAGGGTAGAGGTTAGAAACACCGAATGACATTTGACAATCGAATGTAAATGTCATGGATGAAATCATTGATAGCATCATAGATTGAATAAACTACATGGATAGTTTATAAATAATTAATTTTGAATTAGAATGAAATAAAGGGATAAAAAGTATCCTAAGTCCTTCTCCTGGCTCTAAACTACCTCCCTGCCAATTTTCATCTAAATCGGTTCAGCCGTTCGTGAGTTATAAGTGTTACCATATAAAGCGATCCTCTTTTATATATATAGATTATAAATATTAGACAATGTTACAATATTTATAATAATCTATTTGAAAACATTCAATATCCTCGAATATTTCGTTACGGTACGGGAAGTTCCAGCAATTTGCCTTAAGGCACGATTTGCCACACACCCCACTAGTTTTAATACATATTTGTCTACCCGGGGGTACTTTATATATCATATTTGATCTCAGCATATACAGTGAATATTGATTGTGAATACAGCGAGATGTGTGACAAATTGTCTGGCAAAAAAGAGGAAAGAAAAATTTTCCTCAAAAAAAAAAAACACAAAGCAATATTGATAATAATAGTTAATTACACAAATAAAAAGAAAAACAAAATAACAGTTTTATTCGCTCTGAAGGAAAATCTGTGTCGAGCCAAGTATCATTAGCCGCTATGGGTCGATCAGTATTTAGATTGGCATGGCGTGATTACCAAACTACGTGTCTAGTGTATTGGCCGAGACCCGCGTTGTTGGTATTAGGATGATCGCCGGTACGTCAGTCTGTTTATGTATGTATTTTGTAGAGTAGTAATGTCTAGTCAGTGGGTCCCTTATTTTGTTAAGTACTAGTCGTAGTGTCTTATTTTGTAATGTCTGTAGTTTCCGTAAGTTGGTCTTAGTCGTCGCGTTCCATGCCGGAGCGGCCTATGTCAGTAACGGTCTTATAAGTGTCAAGTAGAGTGTCCGCTTGTTCTTCACGCTTAGCGGGCTGTTGTGGTTCAAGAAAGGTCTCAGTAGATTTAACATCCCGTAAGCCTCCACAATTTTCGTATTAATATGTTTTGCGAAGCTAAGTCTATGGTCCAGGCTCACACCAATATATTTAACATCCTTGGACCACTCAACTTCACAGTCCAATACTTTAATTTTGTCCAAGTCAGTCAGTCTAGTCGTGGCATTTAGGCTCTTTGTAAATAAAATTGCCTCCTTCTTTTGCGGATTCATCCTGACCTACCATTTGTCAGTATATTCGGTTAGCTTGTCTATGTGTGTCTGTATCTTTGTAGTAAATAGCGTAGATGATCGTGATAATTTGTATATGGCAGTGTCGTCAGCAAAAGTCAGTAACGATGTGTCGGCGTCAGAGGGTATGTCGTGAATGTAGACGTTAGACAGTGGTGATCCCAGGATCAAGCCCTGCGGTACTCCCGCCGTCACTTGTTTAACCGTCGAAAGTCCGTTGTCTACTTGTACGGTAAAGTTGCGGTCTAAGAGGTATGAGTGTTATGTTCTTGTAATGTACGGTAGAAAGTTGAGTTGGATGAGTTTATAAATAAGTCCGTCCACCCAGATGGTATCAAACGCCTTCTCAAAGTCGAGTAACACCAATCCGGTATGGTTTCGTTTGTTAAAATTGAGAACTGTATTTTATATAAGTTGTGTCAGTGGGTGTAGTGTGGAGTGTCGTTTGAAATATTGGCATTTTGTTTATGTATGTTCTCAAAGTTTTTTGCCAATATTTCCGCCTTGTGTGCTGGTGTCGTTGCGTAATTGTTGTCAGTTAATTTGAGTGGAGGTATGGTTGTTGGTTTCCGCGTCAGTCTTTTTGCTGTTTGCCAAATTTTGTGTGGGTCAGTATTTAATTTCTCGAGTCTTTTGGTCCAAGTGTTGTTTCGGTGGTCACGTATTTCATTGCAAATAATTTTTGTCAGTGTTTGTATCGTATCAACGTACGATACCTAGTACTATAATACAACGTAGTATCTACCGTCAAAAAAAAATCATAAAAATCGTCGAAAAGACATTTTTTAACACTTTATTACAAGTAAACGTCCCGAAAAACGTGGACAATTTTTTTTCACTTTTCTGCAATTTACAAAGAAACGGTTCGCCCGATCGTAGCGTTGACGAACGATAGTCCTCATAGAGGTACATCGAATGGCTTTCAAAATTTTAAAATCGGTCCAGCCGTTTTTGAGAAAACGTCGATTTACGGCAATAAATCTGTTCACACACATGCACACACACATACTTTTTCCAGATATGGTCTCATTCGATTCAGAACGGCTTGAAACGTCGAGAAAACAAAATTAGCAAATGGGATTTTTTGATGAAAACATAAACTTCTCCTTCGGGAAGATAATACAGAAATTTCTTGACAAGAGCCTGAAATAATATATTTTATTATTGATTACGGCTTGCTTATGAACAAATAAATAAATAAATAAATAAATAAACAAGATCATGAGTCACGCAAATTCACTAGCAAACTCCTAAATAATAGAGAACTATCGACGAAGGTTGAAAAGAAAATTGGAATAACTCATTCATTATTTATAAGGAATTATTTTATAAGTAATAATTAAGATTATATAATTATCAATAAAATATTGTTAATATTATAATAAATAGGAAAACAACTATTGAGTTGTTTTCCCAATATGCCCATTTAGTATACAATGTCCCTTTACGGCTGAGAATTGTAAATTCTTCAAATTTATTAAATGTCCTTAAGTGCACAGTTGTAAATAAAATAGAGATTAAAAAAAATATTTCCAATAGCTCAATGTATTTTAATGTCAAGTTTATTTTTATTTTTATTTGCCTCCGCTTTACAGCATTTTTAGCCTATAATAATCACTAAAAATTTAGTTAAGTTAGTTTAATTTAGTTATTTTCTAGTAATATAAATAAAATACTTTTTAATAAATATATTACTTTGGAATTGCACTTTTAACTCATTCAATATTTATAACTATATGGATTATTTATATTTAATACAAATACGCACAAAAAGTATGAAACAATTGTTGCACTATATACCGCCATTTTAACCCATAGCGATACGATTCATCTCCATAGCATACCCGAAGTAAACCTATTGGGTTGACCCCTGGCAAAATCACGGCTCTGACATAAGTGTCGCTATGGTTTCAAATATGTTCATATAGAGTACCAGTTGTTTGACCTCAGGTTAAACCTACAGCCCATTGTGACCTCCATAGGTCGACCCTTGGTCAACCATGTGCTGTATATTATGTTTAAAAACTATTATTAACAAATTTGATATGACGATGATGAACGTGGAGGTAATTTTTATGAACAAGATCTATTCATTGAGTATAAAGACGTACAATATGAACAAACACTTTATGTTGCCGACACCGCCGCTTGTCGATGTTGCCACTCGGACCGATATGTCTAAAACGTATAGCATGAGATCAATTTTTAAAATAATACTGGTAGTACTGATATTTTTATATCGACACCGGTATTGAATACCGGGCAAAAATCGTTCAGAATACCGCTATCAAAATCCCGGTATCGTAAGCCCTAAGAGTGACATGTATAAAGTAGAACTGATGTTTCAACATCGAAAATACCGACATTTTTAACATAAATACCGGTATTAATATCACTGAAAATTTAGACGGTAAATTGGTACGCCGGCATCGCATTCCCTATGCATTATTATATACGGTAAACGGTATCACTAATAACATTTGTTGGAGTCGAGCATATGTATATTGATATACAGAAGAAATTAACAATATCCTAATACAAAATTTTCACTAAAGAGTTAATATTGTACTGGTAAGAAAGTGGCATTTTGCCTTATGGCAAGTTGTATGAACTTCCCTAAATGTGTAAGTAATATATTTAATTCATTTTTAGTGCTACACATTATTATTGAAAAACGTAAAGTATTTTCTAAAAGCGCGGCCGGTTAATTCATTTTTTTTAATACACATACATAGATACTTTTTCAAAACTCGGTCTCATCCGATCTAGAATAACTTGAAAAATCGAAAACGGATTTTCCGCCAAAACAAACCTTTCCTTCGGTAAGTGAATAATATAAAACATATTTTGAATACAATTATTTTAATTAATGCAATTAAATGTATTAGTAGTTAACGTACCTGGGACCTCCATTGTTTAACATGGCTTTAGTTTCATGACCAGTGTACAAAACTAAACCCTCGACATAGTCAGTATTTTTTATACGGCTTTCTCGGAGTAGCAAATTTTCATTCGAAATTGGAAATCGTCTTCCTTCTTGATCTATTAATGTTCCATGAAAGTGATACAGCTTTGTACTAGGTTGGGCCACCTCCACATAAGATGAAAACTTACTTGCAATAAAATTGCCCTGCTGAAAATATAAGGAAATTTGTTCAATGATAGTTTGAATATTACTCTGTATTAAATAAGTTCGCACTCAAACAATGAGTTTAAATCATAAAGTTAGGTTTGGGATAATATTATTTAACAATAATGGTTCAACTTTAAAGTAACTAGGGCATGAGTATCAATACACTATGCTGTACATATGATAACCAAAGTACCAATGTAATGTGTGTATGTACAGGTGTATTTGTGTTTGTATAAATATCATAGTTTAACATTATATAAATATAAATATAAATATAAATATAAATATAAATATAAATATAAATATAAATATAAATATAAATATAAATATAAATATAAATATAAATATAAATATAAATATAAATATAAATATAAATATAAATATAAATATAAATATAAATATAAATATAAATCTAATATAAATATAAATATAAATATACTATAAATCTAATATATAACTATAATATAACTCTCTAAATATAAATATAAATATAAATATAAATATAAATATAAATATAAATATAAATATAAATATAAATATAAATATAAATATTACACACATTATATGTCACATTACTATATATTTAACTGTATATATCGGCGTATAATATGTATATTGAACTGTAATAACAATTCGAATCATTATTTTGTTTAATAATTACAAAACGCGTTGCTAGTTATATGTAGCTTACGCGGTCATCGGAAGTGCTTACCGTTGGATTTTGTAAATAGATTGTAAACAATAAATTAGTATATAAGAGTTAGACAAAAGTTAGACAGTCAAGCTTGGAGTCAAACTTGGAGTCAGACTTGGAGACAGACAGAGTTAGTCAGGCATAGTATTCAGTAAAATGTAGTCTTTGCTGATATGATAACCAAAAGGTTATCAACAATTATTGATTGTAAAAATAGTGAATAATAAAAGTATCATTCAAAGAAAGAAGTGTGTTTACAAATTACTATCAAATAGCTGTTAATAGGAATAAATAAATTTAGAATTCAGTTAGCAATTAGCACTATACCAAATTTTGACGGTAATTCAGATGACCTCTTTAAATTTTTAAGTACTGTAGACTCAATTTTAGATAATGCAGATTTTGAGACATATAAATTTATATCAAAAATAATTATATGTAAATTAAATGGAACAGCTTTTGATTGCGTTAGACGGGCTGATTATCAGTTATGGGAACCAATGACCTTAAACCAATTCTATTTAAACGTTTTAAGGATAGAAGGTCAATCACTGATTTACATCAAGAGCTAGCAACAACAACAAGAAAAAATGAGGAATCAATTGAGGAATTTGCTGAGAGTTGAGGTTTTGCTAACGTTAATTAATAATGAATGTTATTTTACACAGAATGAAATAGTGTATGCATCATATTGTGACCTAGCCTTGGCAGTTTTCATTGAAGGACTACCATTTGACTTGAAAATTATAGGTTAAGCAGTCAAACCTGAAAATTTGAAGGATGCTAAGCACATTGCTGCAAGGGAAGAAAACTATTTGAGGGGGTTGTTCGGTTTTTATTTATTTTTTTTTCAATTTGGAGATTTTTTGATATTATGAAACCTTAGAATTATTTTAAAAAAAAATCATCTCAAAATTTATTTTTTGACGAAGTTATAGATATACGAGGTGTGTTCAAAAAGTACCCGGAATTTTTAAATTTCGCGGGTCTGGAGTGTCTGATTGTCAAAATTTTTTTTTTATTTATTGGTATACATGCCCCTAAAGTATGATGAAATTTTCAGCTATATTCACTGTTTACTTTGTCTGTGGTAGTCGCTAAGTTCGACGTGTTTTTCTGAGCTCGGCGATTTTTACAATGGAAGAATTGAAAAGTCAAAGAATTTGTATTAAATTTTGCGTAAAAAATGAAATAAAGTGTAACAAAGTGTGTGAAATGTTACAAAAAGCCTATGGTGAGTCTGCTATGAAAAAAACAAGTGTTTACGAGTGGTATAAGCGTTTCCAAGATGGCCGCGAAGACGTTGAAGATGACGAACGCTCCGGTCGACCCAGCACGTCAACAAACGATGAAAATGTGAAAGAAGTGGAAAAAATGGTTATGAATGATCGCCGAATCACAATTAGAGAAGTTGCTGATGAAGTTGGCATATCAATTCATTAACAATTCATGGCTGTTGCACCACGATAACGCACCTGCTCACTCGTCGTTGCTTGTTCGTAATTTTTTGGCCAAAAACAATACCGTAGTCATGCCCCAACCTCCATATTCACCAGATATGGCTCCGTGCGACTTTTTCCTATTCCCAAAGTTGAAGAGACCCATGAAAGGACGGCGGTTTTCCTCGATTGAAGAAAATCGCTGAGAGTGCTCAAGGACATATCAAAAAGTGAATATCAAGGGTGCTTCGAAAATTGGAAAAAACGCTGGCATAAGTGTATTATATCTGGGGGGGACTACTTTGAAGGGGACCACATTAATGTAGACGAATAAATAAATATTTTTTTGAAAAAACGAAAATTCCGGGTACTTTTTGAACAGACCTCGTACTTTACAAGTATTTTCAACTTTGCAATTCAGTTGATATAATTCTTATAAATATTAGACAGAGTTACAGTATTTATTTATAATAATCTATTTGAAAACAATTAATAATCCTCGAACGTGGGAAGTTCCAGTTCCAAATTATTATATATCTTTACGTTTCAAAGGTTTCTGAATATTTTGGCATACCTTAGAAAAAATGGATGTTGGATGATGGAAAAGTGTGTGTATGTGTGTGTGTGCGTGTGTGTATGTGTGTGCGGATACAAATGTTTGTCGACGATTTCGGGAACACCGATCAACCGATTTGAATAACTCAAAAAACATTCGATTCGTATTGATAAGGAAACGTGCTGATTGGTTTTTGACGAAGGCAGGTCCAGCCGTTCCGAAGACACGATGTAAAAAGTGTCAAAAATGGTAACTCAGTTTTTAAGAGAGCGGAGCGTCCGATTTTAATTTTTCAAAAAACATTTTACTTGTATTGACAAGATGAAAAATTGGCCAATTTTCATGAAGGCAGGTCTAGCGGTTTCGGAGTTATAATAAAAAAAGTTAAAAAAAATGCCATTTGGCGGTCAAAAATGATCATTAGACATATGCACATAAAATTATCAGATATTTTATAGAGATTTTAACAATAAGTATAATTTTTTTTTACATTTCTATGGGTTCCGTACCAATGCTTATCCGTTAGACGGCGGCGCGGCACTTACGCGCTTTGACATTTCGTCTCTATGCAGTTCAAGCAGTACGATTGCTTTGAAAAAAAGTTCAGAATTTCCAAAATATGGCAAAATGAAGAAAACATTTTTTTTACAAAAAATTTTTTGTTATCAAAAAAATTTTATTTTTTCAAAAAAGTAATTTTTTGTCAAATTTATAGTTTCACAAAAATCTACTTTTTTTAAGTAAAATTTTTTCAAAAGTGTTAATCGTTTTTAGAAAAAATAATAATTATTGGTACGGGAAGTTTCAGCAATTTGCCTTAAGGCACGATGCCATGCACCCCACTAGTTTTAAATATTAATGAATTGATAATGTTTGACTCATCGCATCATAAAAGCAACTTTTGACACAAATTTTGACTGTAATATTTTCTCAAACCTTAATTATGGTTCCTTAGATCGTACCCACATTACTTGGATAACTGTGGTAATTCTAGAGCTAATACATGCAAATTTGGCGAAGGCAAGTCTAGCCGCTCCGAAGATACGGGGCAAATAGTGCCAAAAACGGTAACTCAGTTTTTACTCTCAATAAAAATAAGTTAAAAAAATGTCATTTGGCGGTCAAAAATGTTTATTGGACATACGTACATCAAATTATCAGATATTTTATAAATCAGATATTTTCGTACCTAGATTTTTACTTATGGTAAGGGAAGTTCAAGCAATTTGCCTTATGGCCCAAGGCCATGCACCCCATTAATTGCAACCACATTTGGCATTATATTCTTTTTTGCAGTTGCAAAATATAGTGTTAAGAAGTTTTTCGGGCTCTGGTAGAACTAATGTTTGTAGTGCGTCCGATGCAGCCTGATTACCAAGCCACAGTTGAACTTGGTAGTGTACCCCAAAAAGATGTTAAACAACTACTGAGGTAAGAGGAATATTAATTGTACTTGCCTTTTATTGCAAGTATTTTTAATAAAACACGCGTATCGGAACTTATCTAAGCAAGTTGTTTTTTAAGAGCTCCGTACATAGCCAGAAGAAAGCAAATTCCGCTAGTAATAACTTCTTGCAGAGTTGAATTATTTTTTAGAGAAACTGCAAAAGTTGGACTCTTTTGTTCCCTTGCGTGTGTTCATTGTCAGGGCTGATCGTGTTCTAATGTTGAGCCGGCAACTGTAGAGGACTGCTTTGATACCAACGAGAAATCGCTATTAGAACCATTCATTTATTCTGAGAGTGAAGAAGAAAAAAAAGCAGAAAAAAAAGATGAAAAAGAAGAAGAAGATGAAGAAAATCAAAAAAAAAATGTAGAAACATTTGAAAATTATGACCCGCAGTAATAAATTTAGTTGCCTTTTTATTATTACCACCTTAATCCACGAATATTATTTTGCAGTGATTCCGAAACATACAAAATCACAATGAGATAGTCCTACTGGGTAAACCACGTTGAAAAAACGCGCTAAGCACACTACCACGTAGGTGGCGTTTAAACGTGCTTTTCTATGTGATATATCTTTAAAACGGTGACTCCGAATAAAAAAAGTATTGATGCATTTTTTGTAGATAATTTTATGCTCTACAATATTGTGTCAGGTAATTGTACGATAAAACTGGCTATTAAGCTGAAAATCGCAAAAAGTTTATTTATTAAACTCAGACCTTGTGCTATTTTTTAGCTCGCATCAGAACGATGTGGACTTTCGAGATTTCTTTTATAATTGTATTTTAAACAATTTTGCCAAGTGACAGCCCATTATGAATTATTGTAACCCTGAATACGTAAATTGACCGGGCTATATACA